TGACGTTAATGAAAATTATTAATTTACGCTTAATATTTGTCATTGTTAAACATTTAAAAGGAAGCTTTTAGCATAACATGTAAGAATTTAATTAGAACACAGGACTTATAGATGTGTTTAATAAATATTATTTTAATAAGAAAAAATATTATGTAAATAATTCGTGTTTTAATTTTGTATTCAAAATTGTAGTGTCAGCAGATTAGGATATAGAAACATATTAAATATGTATGACTTATTTTACTTATAAATACCATGATTATGTAACAGAAATAAAGTTATTTACCGAAGCATAAATTAATATAAAAGAATCGATTTGTATAATAAAATATATTACGTTTTAGGCACCATTATGTTTCTTCGTTCCATATTATCTAAGTGCAGTGCCTTAAAGGCGAGGGATCACTTGTCTAGAATTATAGGTCAGTCAATGTCGTTGGACGTGGACGTAATGATGAGAGACTGTGGTAGGAAAAAGCGATTCGGTTTTTGAAATGTATATTTAGGGTAATAATTGGTTAAGGCATTGTGGGGTATTTAGTATCTACCATGTATATGGTTGGGATTCATAAATACTTGTGAAAATATATGAATATATTATACTTTAATCATAAATAAGACAGTGTATAGTGTAGAGTATATAATTTCTGTCACCAAGTCCCAGTTGACTTATTTGCCCAGAGAGGTTGACCGCGATTAGCTCATTTGCAGAAGCAACTACAGGACTAATTTCGGTCAGCATATCACACCACATGACATGTTCGCTTATGTTTCAGCTTTTACGAGGTTCTCGTTATACGGAATAGCAATGCAGACCAAGAATATCCCTGACTGCCAGGCCCACCAATGCAATATTAGGATTATTGGCAATAGTCTGTCTGTGATGTTTCAGTCCCAATAGAGCTAAGCGCGAACATTTAAGAACACGGTTTCGGGCAAGTACCTATAAAAATAGAGTTTTCTACTGTAGGATCCTGGCTATTAGGTTGTGTCTGTGCAAATATTCGGAGTTAGAAAGCACTTTTTTTTTACTTTATACAAATATAAAATAAATTAAAAGGAATAAAAGCCCAACCAGGGCGATAATAATATTATGCTCACTAGATGTCGCTAGTTGGGACTAAGGCGAACATATTTGTTACGCATAATCATCATTATTGAAAAGTTGCGTTTTAAATAAAAGTTTTTTTTTTATTTCTAGTGTATTATATGCTTTTTTCTACACATTTTTAAACTTTTTTTTTAATTTTTCAACTTTTACGAATATTCGTAGCTCGCTTTTAACAAATTAACTTCCCCCACTTATGAAATCACCACGTTTACATATTACCTAATTAATTTTGCAAGTATTAAAAAACCGATTTGAAAATATCGTGACAATATGAAATGAAAACATTTTAGTGCTTCGTTCTCTCATCACTACGCACAAAACTTCTATCATCTAATCGGATGCAATTCCTTTAGGAACTAGTGATCGTGCAAAATAATTCATATCTGTGTTATTCAAAGCTTGAAGATTATTAATTTGCGCGTAATATTTCTTAGTTTCTAGCTATGTAAATACTTGATAGAGTTGATGGCAATGTCGTGAAGCATTACGTGTAGTTTTAATAACAGTTTGTCTATTACCGTATTCTAAAATAGAGGCAAAGAGTGATGACACTTAAAAAATACTGTAAATGAACTATAACATAACTCCCTCGTTGAATGCCTCGTAGAGGGGATTTTGCCATGGTTGCCAGCTTGGTGGGCGAGTTGGCAACTGCAGTTTTTTTTAATAATTTTGAGATGTTATCAGGAAGATGCATATGTCGCCTCTTACGACACCCACAGGACAATATGGTGTAGTGGATATCCGCCAATACACGATTAATGACATAACTTACCAGCCTTAATTAGCAGTGTCTTGGCGGTGTAAGAAATGTTATGGGCTAGTGGATTTAGGGTGCCGTAAGAGGGGGCAGAGCAAAATGAGGCAGCAGCATATTTCTGATACCTCAAATTAATAAACAAATACTATGGTTGTCAACCCACCTGTCAGGCGTAGAAACTGTAGCATATATCCCCATTTGAGGAAACTGCTTTTCTTAGACGAAACCAGAGGGATATTATATGTTTGTAGTGTGTATCTGTGTGTGTAATTGTGGCATTATAGCTCCTGAACAAATGAACCGATTTTCATTAAGTTTTTGTCGTTTGAAAGGTGTCCTTAATCGAGAAAGTTCTTAACTATATTTCAAGAAAATCTGTTGAGCCGTTTGAAGATCATCAGCTGTTTTTGTGTCGAGAATTTAAATAAAAAAATTATGTTATTAAGATTTTGTCTTTAAAACGATATATTTAAATGCGTTTTAGAATTTATTTCTCTGTGTGCAAACAGATTTAAAACGAAAATAAGTGAATCTGTCGACATAAAATTTACAGAGGTAGGGTATACCGGGAAGGTTATAAGATCTTGTTTTAGTATTATATATCAAACGATTCTAAAGACGATTTTTTGTTAAATATTCACACGGACAAAGTCACGGGCACAGCTAGTAAAATAGATCGCATGCTACAAATATATACTACCGACAACTTGGTGTTGTTTTACTTTTACATTATGATTTGAATAAAAATTTTAAGTACCTACATTAAATTCGAAATAAAAAAACAAAGAAACTGATATAAAATTTATCCTTTTGGTTAATGGAAATAGTCAGCAAAAGTTGTCATCACTCTTCAACGAAAACTATTGATCACTAAAATGTTAGAGCGAGATAACACCATACTTTATCTCTTTTTAAATGGTATCGAAGTCGTAATGTAGCGGATTATGTCCTTTGTGATGTAGATGTTGCAAACCTAGCTACAGTTAACGTCTTAACCGACGCGCGATTAATACCTGGTTCCTATATTAACGAAACGAGGTTTAGAAATTTTGTCTTCACTTCTAGGACTGCAAAACGTGTCGTTAGGGAACATGTAATGTTTTTTAAAAAAATGTAGAAACCAGTTACTAGTTGCATTACCTATAATAGATCTAGTTTTATAATAAACAATCTCTCTGTAAACAAAAATAGAACAATATTTAAGTAAATAATTTTAACCCATTGACTTAGTTAATAATCACATGTTTCGAAGAATTGACAAATTATATTTCAAATTGACAAATAATTATAATTTAAGTATGAGGTAGAATGAGTACGTAAGATGTAGACATTTAAATATAGAAAATGTTGCTATTGGGTGAAAAAAGTAGAGCCAACGTGATAGTCAAGTGCCAATAAACCTTACCGTAATAAACTCGGTAATAAGGCGTACAATTTAAATTTTTATTGTTTTAATTGTTTTATAGATTTTATCGCGTTTAATTTAAACGTTTTCAATTCTCGACGTTTCGGGCACTAAACAGCACCCACCGCGCTACATTCAACTTTAAATTATTAATTTTTGGTCCGATCTACGCAGAACGCGCGTATAGTATCTTGAAGTCTTGCAATTTAAGCAATAAAAAAGTTAAAATTAAATGCGATAAAATCCGTAAAATTAGTGTTAATCCATGTTTATTCCATTCGCGTATTTACGCCTATATTTATAAGAAATCATTGATTGTTTTATGTTTTCCATTTTAATTATTTTTACTTTGATATGGTTGTAGCCGCCGACCCGGTAGGCTCGACCGGGGAAGGCCCACGCTCTCACAGAATACCAGAGTAAAAAGGTTTTCGTATGGTGGGTGTAGAGAAACGGAGATCCTTTTCACTGGAAACGAGGAGGAGAAACGAGGCGTTCTATCATAATCCTCAGGGATGACAACGCATCTGCATTTTGATACTTAATCGAGGATAGATGTAAATTTCTATCATCAGGTAGACTGTGTGCTCGTTTGTCACCCTTGTTCTCTATAAAAAAAAAAACAACTTTAAACAAAGAAGGCTACAACCGCGCCGTCGTTCCTGAGGACTAAGATGAAATAACTCACTGCATGTAATTATAATGAAAGTGATAATGAGTGGACGAAGCGAAACAAGTATTTACATACGCATCGGATCGTAGCAAGTGGAAAGAAGTGGTCTCTGCCTACCCCTACGAGAAAGAGGCGTGATTATATGTATGTATGTAATTATACAGGCTCCCTATACCCTATAGACCAAAAAAGCAGTGCACGCACTGATGCTTGACATCCAGCTCTGTGATCGTCGATCCTTCAGCCGAGCGTGGCAATTATGACTAAAAATGGAACGTGCCATTTTAGCGGTGAACGTATACTGGCCGATACAAATTAAGATTAATCGTGAATAAGTTTATAATTCTTTAACCTTTTTAATTTTTTTTTAATGTCTTATAAAGGACCAATCTTACTCGAGGGTAGATGTAGATGTCTTTGGGCCACAGCAATCACTTACCATCAGGTGAACTGTGCGCTTGTTTTGTCACTCTTACTCCTATAAAAAAATATAGATTATTTAATATGGACAAAGAAGATTTGTATAAGTTTATTTATATTTTGATGATGAGGCATTTTCAATTTCGATAGTGAATATTTTTTTTATAATGTATATCTACAAAACACCGTGAGGAAACCTGTATGTCTGATATATAAAAGAGTACCCATTTATAAGACATGTAAAGTCCTCCAATGTATTAGTATATCGCGGAGGCTTCTTGCTGCGCGGAAAACCCTTTCCGAAATGAGAGGGCCATGTGCCCAGTAATGGGATGTATATTGACTAAATTTAAAGCACCCCAGAAATTTTGTTTACAATTAAGACCATATGTCACCTTCTTGACTTACACTCAACCGTAGACAGTCTTTAAACACGTTGGCTCTAACAAAAATCAGAAATTATTAATTATAATAAACAACTAATAGAATTTGTCCTAAACTAGCAAAATAAAGCTTTCAGATGACTTTTCAACCCGTAAACGATTAAGTTATCTAGTGCGATGTAAATAAAGTTCATTTTCAAACCCACAGCGACACCGGCACCTGGTAAGGTGTCCCACATTCACCTGTCCTATGGTATGCGTACCGACTGGAGTACTTTGCTTGCCTGAAAACGGAAAAAATAGTGTTATTAAACGTAGAAACGGCACTTTTGTTGTCCTGTCTTCATTAAAAACGGACTTGCGAAAGACACCAAGAAAGATTAGCATTACGCAATATTATGGTGAGATTTTTTTTGTTGAATTAAGTTAAGATGTAAGGCAAATAATTACTACTGCTCGTCATGTTACTTCCGTGACGACACATCAAACTAATAATTCACAGACTATAGCAGTGTGCAAAATCACAGAGCTGAAAAGGTTCGTCAATAATGATCTGTCAGTGAGCGTGATAGTTATATATAATAAAATACGTCGTACTCGCTGTCGGACGTGAGCAGGCCGGTGACGCACAGCAGCTGGTACTGTGCACTGTGCACGTACCTCGTACTCGCTGTCGGACGTGAGCAGGCCGGTGACGCACAGCAGCTGGTACTGTGCACTGTGCACGTACCTCGTACTCGCTGTCGGACGTGAGCAGGCCGGTGACGCACAGCAGCTGGTACTGTGCACTGTGCACGTACCTCGTACTCGCTGTCGGACGTGAGCAGGCCGGTGACGCACAGCAGCTGGTACTGTGCACTGTGCACGTACCTCGTACTCGCTGTCGGACGTGAGCAGGCCGGTGACGCACAGCAGCTGGTACTGTGCACTGTGCACGTACCTCGTACTCGCTGTCGGACGTGAGCAGGCCGGTGACGCACAGCAGCTGGTACTGTGCACTGTGCACGTACCTCGTAATCGCTGTCGGACGTGAGCAGGCCGGTGACGCACAGCAGCTGGTACTGTGCACTGTGCACGTACCTCGTACTCGCTGTCGGACGTGAGCAGGCCGGTGACGCACAGCAGCTGGTACTGTGCACTGTGCACGTACCTCGTACTCGCTGTCGGACGTGAGCAGGCCGGTGACGCACAGCAGCTGGTACTGTGCACTGTGCACGTAACCTCGTAATCGCTGTCGGACGTGAGCAGGCCGGTGACGCACAGCAGCTGGTACTGTGCACTGTGCACGTACCTCGTACTCGCTGTCGGACGTAAGCAGGCCGGTGACGCACAGCAGCTGGTACTGTGCACTGTGCACGTACCTCGTAATCGCTGTCGGACGTGAGCAGGCCGGTAATGCACAGCAGCTGGTACTGTGCACTGTGCACGTACCTCGTACTCGCTGTCGGACGTGAGCAGACCGGTGACGCACAGCAGCTGGTACTGTGCACTGTGCACGTACCTCGTACTCGCTGTCGGACGTGAGCAGGCCGGTGACGCACAGCAGCTGGTACTGTGCACTGTGCACGTACCTCGTACTCGCTGTCGGACGTGAGCAGGCCGGTGACGCACAGCAGCTGGTACTGTGCACTGTGCACGTACCTCGTACTCGCTGTCGGACGTGAGCAGGCCGGTGACGCACAGCAGCTGATACTGTGCACTGTGCTCGTACCTCGTACTCGCTGTCGGACGTGAGCAGGCCGGTGACGCACAGCAGCTGGTACTGTGCACTGTGCACGTACCTCGTACTCGCTGTCGGACGTGAGCAGGCCGGTGACGCACAGCAGCTGGTACTGTGCACTGTGCACGTACCTCGTACTCGCTGTCGGACGTGAGCAGGCCGGTGACGCACAGCAGCTGGTACTGTGCACTGTGCACGTACCTCGTACTCGCTGTCGGACGTGAGCAGGCCGGTGACGCACAGCAGCTGGTACTGTGCACTGTGCACGTACCTCGTACTCGCTGTCGGACGTGAGCAGGCCGGTGACGCACAGCAGCTGGTACTGTGCACTGTGCACGTACCTCGTACTCGCTGTCGGACGTGAGCAGGCCGGTGACGCACAGCAGCTGGTACTGTGCACTGTGCACGTACCTCGTACTCGCTGTCGGACGTGAGCAGGCCGGTGACGCACAGCAGCTGGTACTGTGCACTGTGCACGTACCTCGTACTCGCTGTCGGACGTGAACAGGCCGGTGACGCACAGCAGCTGGTACTGTGCATTGTGCACGTACCTCGTACTCGCTGTCGGACGTGAGCAGGCCGGTGACGCACAGCAGCTGGTACTGTGCACTGTGCACGTACCTCGTACTCGCTGTCGGACGTGAGCAGGCCGGTGACGCACAGCAGCTGGTACTGTGCACTGTGCACGTACCTCGTACTCGCTGTCGGACGTGAGCAGGCCGGTGACGCACAGCAGCTGGTACTGTGCACTGTGCACGTACCTCGTACTCGCTGTCGGACGTGAGCAGGCCGGTGACGCACAGCAGCTGGTACTGTGCACTGTGCACGTACCTCGTACTCGCTGTCGGACGTGAGCAGGCCGGTGACGCACAGCAGCTGGTACTGTGCACTGTGCACGTACCTCGTACTCGCTGTCGGACGTGAGCAGGCCGGTGACGCACAGCAGCTGGTACTGTGCACTGTGCACGTACCTCGTACTCGCTGTCGGACGTGAGCAGGCCGGTGACGCACAGCAGCTGGTACTGTGCACTGTGCACGTACCTCGTACTCGCTGTCGGACGTGAGCAGGCCGGTGACGCACAGCAGCTGGTACTGTGCACTGTGCACGTACCTCGTACTCGATGTCGGACGTGAGCAGGCCGGTGACGCACAGCAGCTGGTACTGTGCACTGTGCACGTACCTCGTACTCGCTGTCGGACGTGAGCAGGCCGGTGACGCACAGCAGCTGGTACTGTGCACTGTGCACGTACCTCGTACTCGCTGTCGGACGTGAGCAGGCCGGTGACGCACAGCAGCTGGTACTGTGCACTGTGCACGTACCTCGTACTCGCTGTCGGACGTGAGCAGGCCGGTGACGCACAGCAGCTGGTACTGTGCACTGTGCACGTACCTCGTACTCGCTGTCGGACGTGAGCAGGCCGGTGACGCACAGCAGCTGGTACTGTGCACTGTGCACGTACCTCGTACTCGCTGTCGGACGTGAGCAGGCCGGTGACGCACAGCAGCTGGTACTGTGCACTGTGCACGTACCTCGTACTCGCTGTCGGACGTGAGCAGGCCGGTGACGCACAGCAGCTGGTACTGTGCACTGTGCACGTACCTCGTACTCGCTGTCGGACGTGAGCAGGCCGGTGACGCACAGCAGCTGGTACTGTCGCGCACGCAGTGCGGACGCACCGCGACGCAACAAACGCAACGCTGCTCCACTGGCCAAGCCGCCGCATACAACGGCACGCACCTGTTGCGATTATGTGTACACTTAACACAAGCTATATTTAAATTTAGCACGGACATACGCGAACGCGTACGCTCTCGCTCACGCATACGCTGACGTTGCACTGCTGTTTTGTTTTTTTTTTCTTATAAGATAAGGGTGACAAACGAGCACCACTTACCATCAGGTGGACTGTGCACCTGATGGTAAGATCTTCGATTAATAATCAAAATGCAAATACGTTCTCAGCCGTGAGGGCTAAGATGGAATGCCTCGTTTCCTGTAAAAAGGGTCTCCGGTTCTCTACATTAACCATACGAAACACAGCAGCGTTAAGCTGCTATTTTACGCCGGTATTCTGTGAGAGCGTGGTCCTTGCCCTGTCGAGCCGACACATTCATGCTACAACTATACCAATAATATAGTTGCGGCATGGCTCTACCACGTAAAAACCACCTGGTTGGTACCACGCTTTTACCTTTTTCTCGACAGAAACAGGTAAAAAGGTGGTACTAACCAGGGATGTGTAACTTGCATAGAAAATAAGAACACAAATTAAATGTATGGAAAGTAGTGACATCTATACGTATAGAACACGTTTAGTAAATTTATACTAAATAATTCCCAATTTCCTGGTAGATAGAGCTAGTTATTTAGATTATTGTTTTTACAATTTGACAATTAAGGCACGCAAGGGCTTCGACCATACAGCATAGTCTGATGTGCAATAATTTAAATTCTTGACAATATAGTGACGCCATGATCGCGAAGTTTTTGGGAGATTTTTGACGACAGCCTATGAGTTAATGACTATAGTATTCTCAAGCTGCCAAAGCGTATAATACACTTGAGATTTATATCGCCATCGAAGCGCTTGTAACATCGTTTCCTCTACATGCGCAGACATATAAATACACAAAATCGCACCACTTTATGTATCGAAATCCACCTCAAGTAGTTGTTAAGCGACTTAGAAGCGGAAATCCAACCGCTAAGTTCCTGCAAAAATTCCCTAGTTATTTAGACTTTTGTCAAATCGATTCAAGTGTGGCGTAGTACCATATTTTAGTATGGTTCCATGCTAATGTACTAATTATGCTTTTATATAATTTTGTATATACGTATAGCCACAGCGGTGACTCTCTCACACTGTACGTGAGAGTTGAAGCGCCGGTGACATTAGGCCGGTGCCTGTAACGATAGGGTTGACACCGAACCGAAATGGAATATTATAGACTTGTGCCAAAAAAGATACATAGTAGGTATATGTTATATAATGTAAACTTATGTATTTAGATAGTGAAACATACGATCAATTTTAAATCAACTTTTATTAAATATATTTCTAGATGGGTAAAATTAAAATTTCCGACAAAGCAAAATATGCACGTCAGTTAATGGTAATCTTAAATAATAATTAACCAACACTTAATATTTCAGTATGAAATAATCAGTATTACCTACTACCCTTTAAAAATTACTTACTCTTATATATTTTTGGCTTTTTTGATGACTTTTATAATTTTTATTATTATTTCTAACAATTGAAAAAATTCGTAGCCGTATGTATAATTTCTTTAGAAAATCCATGGGGAAGCATAGATAGACAGATAGATAGATAACACTTAATTGTACGCCAAAAAATAACATAAATATTAACAAAAAATGAAAAAATAAATGTGGTAGAATGGGTGGTCTTATCGCTAAGAGCGATCTCTTCCAGACAACCTTTGGATGGACAGGATTGCAAGAAAACAATAAAAAAGTGTGTGATTTGGCGACAAAAATAACATTATTTTTATTAAAGCCATAAAATAGAAATACAGAATGGAATATAAGTACATAGATAAGATAAATACATACATACATACATACATACATATTTGTTTATCCCAAAAATAATTGAAACTACGTAATTTACAGTCACACTAAACCTGTACAGTCAAAACAAACTGTAATGGACCGTAACTAAAGGCAATAAGACTTTTAAAAGTGCAGTTTTATTTGTGTTAATACAAATTCCGTCATCCAATACAAAATAAAGAAAATTGAACCTTATTTCAAATAAGTTAAAGTCTTTACAAATACAGAGTTTGGAGTGCCTTATAAAGGTGGCGGCGGCCATGCCATTGACCTCCCAGATCAGCTGATTTGACGCCTCTTGACTTTTTTTTTATGGGGACGTATTAAATCATTAGTTTATTTTAGTGAGACAACAAGTGCAGAGGACCTAAAAATAGTAATTCTATGAGTGAACGATTTTAGAATAGTGAAAAATGACACTGAATTGCTTTCTAAATTATTTTCTGTCTTTTTTAAAACGTAACCTCCACACTAGGATTTTCTCTTGTATAGTGGGGGCAGTGTACAAACATAAATTAATAATAATAATATTTATTGGCACAAAATACGGTTTACATTATTTATCCTTAAGACATTTGAACATACGATATGAGTTATAACTTATCTATACAATTTTATGCACTAGCATCTAAACTAGGCCGACCCTGTATCTTAGACACTAGTCTCTTCCAATGACACCATTATTTGCAGTTATAAAAGTATACGTATTATGATTCACTTAATCTATTACGTTACAAATTCGCAAATACATTAGGTACCACTTTTTTGCGTTTACCGTCACACTAACTTATTATGCGTATGAAAGGTTAGACTACTATTTAGGCAGTTTACAAACTTAAATTGCACAAGGACAAACATCCAGACCCGCAACAATTATAGACCTATACCTAGCGTTCGTGGTTTTGTACGGTGACCACAACATTCTTCCGGAATTAGTATAACTAATTTGATAAATAATGAATGCATATACATATTTAACTAAGAATTCAGTGTATGTATTATGATTATAACATAATATACTAATATACATTTTTTTTCTCATTTTGATTTGAATTGTAATTTTTATTATACAACTGTTTGTTGTCCTTAATAAATAAAATATAAATATATATTTTTATTAATATATAAAATTACAAATATATACTTTAAAACTATTATATATAACATAAATGTGCCATACATATGAATAAATATTGTAACTACATAAAGGTAGAATAATTATATACAAATGAATAGGCATTATTTTTGTATAAAGCGCAGCCCTCAGCCAGGGCAGTCGGCGACGGCCCATTCCACGCCTCGCGCCCCTCACAAGGCGCCCGCACACACCCAGACACCCACACATATCCGCAAGTGATTTTACGTGCACATGCTTAAGTGTCGTTTTTTTTCGCGTAGTGTATATATTCTTTGGTATAGCATTATTATTAATAAAACTAATATAAAATGAAAGAAATAAACTAAACAAGTAAATCTGATGTAATCGCAGGGGCCGTCTAGGATATGATCACAAACTGCAGGCTTTCCGGAGCGTTAGTGTTTCACGTCAGCTATATGTTCTATATGTTTGATAGATCACAAATCCTCGCGACAGAACCGATATTCCTGCTAACAATGATACGTGTGGCTATCGAAATTAAAAAAAAAAAACATTCTAATTTCAACAGAGAAGGAGGCTGGGTACTACCACCTGTTTGGAATTCTGTAATTAATAAAATTAAAACGAAAACCCAAGCATACCACAGTAAGACTTCAAGACATAGTAAGTTCATTCTGCGTAGATCGGAGCAGAAGTAATAATTAAAAAGCTGAAGGTACTCTGAGTTAACTCTGACATCGGTATGTTAATCACCTCAGTGCCCTGTCACCATGGCTGCTAAAAAGCACCCGAAACGTCGAGAATTACAAATAAATACAATTAAACGCGATAAAACTAAACCCAAGCATACCACTGCAAGACTTTAAGACATAGTAAGTTCATTCTGCGTAGATCGGAGCAGAAGTAATAATTAAAAAGCTGAAGGTACTCTGAGTTAACTCTGACATCGAGATGTTAATCACCTCAGTGCCCTGTCACCATGGCTGCTAAAAAGCACCCGAAACGTCGAGAATTACAAATAAATACAATTAAACGCGATAAAACTAAACCCAAGCATACCACTGCAAGACTTTAAGACATAGTAAGTTTATTCTGCGTAGATCGGACCAAAATTAATAATTAAAAAGCTGAAGGTATTCACTAAGCACCATACAAATTAGTATCGACAACATTTGCTTATTGTAGTTCATAGATTAATAAACGAAACCAAGAATAATTTACATTATAATAAAATATTTAAATAAAATCATGTAATATAAATTTATTTAAGGTGATCCCCCCACTAGATGGAGTGACGACCTGGTATGACATGCAGGACATCAGGGGACTTCACTCTAACCTAAACGCCGTCCACTACCATCTCGAGACGGCGAAGCCGGCCTTGCTCTTTTTGACCGAGACGCAGGTTTCCTCTCCGACTGATATTTCGTATCTCTCCTACCCGGGGTACAAATTGGAGCACTCCTTTGTACCTCGGGCTGGAGTTTGCGTGTATGTTAGAGAGGACATCTGTTCTCGACGCCTCGGCAGTCTTGAAGGTTCGGACCTGTCCATCCTTTGGCTACGCGTAGACAGCGACGACCATCCGCGCGTCTACGGGTGCCTCTATAGGTCCCATAGCGGTAATGCCGAAACAGACCGACTCATCGACCACGTCCAAATGGCTATAGATTCCTTGCTACAACAGGTCCCATCCGCAGAGATCGTGATCCTTGGCGCTTTTAACGCCCACCATGCCGAATGGCTCGGTTCACGTTTAACCGATCATGCGGGGAGATCTGTTTATGACTTTGCCTTGGCATATGGTCTGACACAACTGGTTACTTCGCCTACGCGGATTCCAGATGTGGAGGATCATACACCTTCCCTGTTGGACCTTCTGCTGACCTCTCATCCGGACGGATATCAGGTTTCCGTCGATGCCCCTCTCGGCTCTTCGGACCATTGTTTGATCCGGAGTATGGTGCCACTCACGCTCCCTTCGCGGTTGCGTTCTGCAGGTTGCCGCCGTGTTTGGCATTACAGGTCGGCGGATTGGGACGGAATGCGGTCTTTCTTTGCATCCTACCCATGGGGGCGGGTTTGCTTCTCGCCGGATGATCCCAGTGCTGTTGCTGACTCTGTCACTGATGTGGTGCTACAGGGAATGGAACTATTTATTCCATCATCTGTGGTACCCATCGGAGGCAGATCTCAGCCTTGGTTTGGTCGCTCCTGTAAGACTGCATTGCGCAGTAAGCAGGAGTGTTATCAAGCCTGGGCTGCGGCTTCGGTGACTCGGTATGTAAACACCAGCACACTTAAAAAGAAGTATAACTTCGCCTCCAGGTCCTTCAAAAGAGTTATTGCCAAGGCAAAGTCAGAGCACATAGGCAGAATTGGCGAGAAACTAGTTCGCCTTCCTTCGGGAACCCGTGCATTCTGGTCTCTCGCCAAGGCTGTCCAAGGGAATTTCTGTAAGCCATCACTACCATCTCTGCACAGGGAGGACGACTCACTGGCCCAAGACGCAAAAGACAAAGCCGACCTTTTAGGCTCCCTTTTTGCGTCCAACTCGACTCTTGATGACGGGGGTAAAATACCGCCGACCATCCCGCGGTGTGAGTGCTCCATGCCGGATGTGCTATTCTCACAGCGCTCAGTTCGCAAAGCACTTCTCTCCCTGGACATCCAGAAGTCGAGTGGGCCTGACGGAATCCCCTCAATTGTGCTGAGGACGTGTGCTCCGGAGTTGGCACCGGTCCTAACGCGTCTTTTCCGGTACTCCTACTCCCAAGGCGTAGTCCCGAATTCATGGAAGACAGCTTTTGTCCACCCGATCCCTAAAAAAGGCGACCGCTCAGACCCGTGCAACTATAGGCCTATCGCGATCACCTCCTTGTTCTCCAAAATAATGGAATCCATTATTAACTGCCAGCTCATCCGGTACCTTGAGGATCACCAGCTGATTAGTGACCGCCAATACGGTTTTCGTCGGTGTCGATCAGCTGGTGATCTTCTGGTCTACCTGACCCATAGATGGGCGAAGGCAGTAGAGTCCAAGGGGGAGGCGTTGGCCGTTAGTCTGGACATTGCGAAGGCCTTTGATCGGGTTTGGCACAAAGCGCTTCTTTCGAAGCTGCCTTCCTATGGGCTTCCCGAGAAATTGTGCAATTGGATCACCAGCTTTCTTGCAGATCGGAGCATCAAGGTCGTTGTAGACGGTGCATGCTCTGACTACAAGCCTATTAACGCTGGTGTTCCACAAGGCTGTGTGCTATCACCAACGCTGTTTCTTCTGCATATCAATGATATGTTGCTAACTTGTAACATTCATTGCTATGCGGATGACAGCACTGGTGATGCTCTATACACCGGCCGGGCCAATATTTCTCGGGAAAACGTCGCCGAGTACCGGAACAAACTTGTGTCTGAAGTCGAGTCTTTGCTGGACAAAGTCTCGGATTGGGGGCGACTAAATCTAGTCCAGTTTAATCCTCAGAAGACTCAAGTTTGCGCGTTTACCGCTAAAAAGAACCCCTTTGTCGTATCTCCTCAGTTTCAAGGCACTCCCCTTCTTGCCTCAGCCAGTATCGGTATCCTCGGAGTCGACATATCGAGTGACGTGCAGTTTCGTGGTCACTTGGAAGAGAAGGCCAAATTGGCCTCTAAAAAGCTTGGCGTGCTCAGCAGAGCGGGACAGTATTTCATGCCGGCACACCGCCTGCAACTTTACAAGGCGCAGGTTCGGCCTCACATGGAATACTGTTCCCATCTCTGGGCAGGGGCTCCCCAGTGCCAGCTCCTTCCACTTGACCGCATCCAGCGCAGAGCGGCTCGAATCGTCGACGACCGAGCCCTTTCCGATCGGCTCGATTCATTGGCACTGCGAAGAGATGTTGCATCTCTTTGCATTTTCTATCGCATCTACCATGGGGAGTGCTCTGAGGAATTGTTCGGATTAATCCCAGCCGCCAAATTTCACGAACGCACATCGCGGCAGAACTCCCGATACCATCCACACCATCTGGATGATTGGCGGTCCACCACTGTGCGATTTAGAAGATGTTTTCTTCCTCGCACAACTTCCTTGTGGAATAGTTTACCACCAGGGATTTTTCCGGACCGATACGACTTAGGGACCTTCAAGAAAAGAGCCTACTCCTTTTTAAAAGGCCGGCAACGCATCTGCAATTCCCCTGGTGTTGCGGTTGTTCATGGGCGGCGGTAGTCACTTACCATCAGGTGAGCCGCATGCTCGTTTGCCCCCTCTCCTATAAAAAAAAAAAAAAGGAAGTCGGTGGATGCAGATGGCTCGGGACCGTGCTTTGTGGCATTCCTTGGGGGAGGCCTATGTTCAGCAGTGGACTTGTGATGGGCTGTAATGATGATGATGACTTCAGTAACGAGTATACAGGTCAAACCAATAAATCTACAGATGGTAACCATTTCCGCTTAGTAGTCCGCCTGGATAAGTACCACCTTCGTACCTATTTTTGTAGCTAAATAGCAGTGCTGTTACTGGTGCGTTCTGGTCTGAAGCACATAGAGAGCCAGCATAGCTAAAGGCTGTGAGGTGTCATCTTAGTTCTCAGAAGTGATAACGCATCTGTGGCCTTTCTTTTTTGGAGTTATCTGAAGGCCAACTGCAGGAATCTATGGACTGTAGTAACCACTTACTATCAGGTGGACTGAAGTTCGTCTGTCACTTCAATTTGATTGAAAAACATGAAAATAAAATTGCAGAAAGAAACATATGGCATAACATATGGCTTACTACACGAAAATAAAGAAGAAAGGCACTTACTTGAGCTGGTGAATGAGATGGATCTAAGACTAGTAAGGTCGCTTTGCCGTCCTTGTGTTTTTCGTATCCTATTATTGTTCTAGAATGACCTGAAACAGAATTAACTTTAAATATATCAATGAACTTTTGTATGTATGTATATGATTCCACTGTACGTATTGTATTAACTTTTTATATGTATGTTATACGATATCTTCGTCAATAATTGTAAACCGATTATAATAACCCTTTTTGATGTGTAACATCTTCCCTCTCGGTTTCCCACAACCTGTGGGAGTGATTTCGTGAATCGGGACGGAAGTTTGTAACAGGAAACCGAAAAAGCGTGCGATATTTGTATTTATTTTTGATAATGTGTCGGAAAAAAAGTACAGATCATAGATAAAAAATGCAATTGAGTAATAATGAATAATTGTTCCAATAAATATTTCAGTGTTTAGCTTTAATAAATATTGAAGTTAATTTATATGCCGCTGCTCAAATAATATTTAAAATTGAATAAAAAAAAACAAATAGCTTTATTCAGGATATAATGTTAATTTTGCTTATTACCAAAGTGAGATATCCGAAGTTACACATCATATACGACTATTGTAAGGCTCGCTCGTGTTTTTTTTTTATTAAATAGTCTCATATAATTTGGAGAATAAATTCAAACTCTAAAAGAAAGTCAGGAATGATGATTTTAATGTAACTATTTAGTCAACATGTTGGCTGTTACCTCGAGCTTGTGATATTCCTTCGTCCATTCACAAGGGACGAAAAATTAAAATTTTTAATTAAAAAAAAAACAACTTTAAAGAACTAAAAAGAATAAAATAATTTACACATAATAGCTTGCAAGGTCGGGGCTTTGATGTTTTACTATGAGTATGTCTTACCACTGACTTACGAGTATGTAAACCAGTTGTAAAAATAAAAAAGGTCTTTCAAAAAGAATTACTTGTAAAATTAATATAGAAAATAATTATATTGAATAAAAAATTATGCTATTTTATGAAGCTCTTATGTGAAAATATATTCTTACGTTTTATAAAAAGTTCAATTAAATAAATTTAATAGAGACATAGTCTTTATTTAATTACTCAAAAAACCTATTTCTCACACTAAGAATTTCTTCGGTTTTTATTTTTCGTCATTTAATTTTCGTCCTCAATGGTATTTCTATGCTGTTTTTTGTTTATAATTAGTTACAGGTCGGTTTGTTTTATGTTGTTTTGTCCTACTAGCATTGAGTAGACGGTTAGATTTTCTGTCACATTATATAACAAACTACTATTATTGTACTACTAGTGACCGCTCCTGGCTTCGTTTGGGTAGCAACTATTCATGTGACGCCATTTAAATTTTTTAAAATAATCATCAATTTCCATTTATTTTATCAAACGATTCAAGAAAAAGAAAAATACTCCAAGTTTTTCTGTCAAAATATACCCTAGGTCGCTCGTGGTATAGCTTTATAATAATAATTTCTTTATTTGCTTAGAAACAGGGTATTATAAGCTGCTACAAGTTTCACAGAGCGCATATGTTTCGTCATAATGAAGGTAGCATGCAAATAATTTTCTAATAATCTAATAAAATAAAATAATCTGTTTATGAAGTATCATCACAATTGGTTTAGCTATTCCGATGCTGTGGCCACATTTACGAGTATTTCTATCCTCTATCAAGAATTAAAATGCAGATGTGTTGTAACTCCAGAGAAAAAAACAATAAATTTGGTCCACCCCCGGGTTTCTCACTAAAATCAAACGGAAACACTTAGATAGTCAAACACTTTACTTACTAATTTTATATACTACTTACCCTGATGCTGAAGATAAAGAGGAGGCTTGAAGGCATTTGGATCCTCTTGGAAATATCGCAACACCCAGTCGAACAGCGCTGGGTGGCTGCCGTCTGGGCTTGTTGGCTTGTGGAAATCTATCAGCTGACATCTGTATTGGAAACCATATGTTACATTTTTGATTCAATATTAGAGCGACGAAAGAGTTAACAATCACTTTGTAGGGGTGCCGTTAGAGAATCCTCACACCAAAACATCCCGTGGAGGTCGTAAGAAACTGAAACTGGAGATAAGCAGCAGCATCTTCCTAATAACAACTGAAAATAATTAAACGGTTATTTGCGGTTGCCAACCGGTTAGATAAGCAGGCACGTATGGCAAAATCTATAATAGCTATGAATGATTGAATTAATGTAAGACCCTATAGGAGAAAATCCAAATGTAATGTAATGGGGGTAATGTTTTAAAAAATAATATCCTAGAGTCTTGAAGAAGAAATTAAACTCTGCCTTACTTTATCCTTAGCGATGAGAGAACTGTGACGACTTCGCAGGCCCCAATCCATTTGCGGGTGTTATGAAGCTTGCTGCCCAATTGCTCTGAACCCTGGAATGAACAATTTCTTTTCAAGTTCAATATTCATTCTGAGTTGACTGAGGAAAGCACCAGGAAGATTACATGACCTCTGATAGATGGCGGTATTACTAATTGCCTCGGACGAGATCTTATGGCAATAAAAATATAATGTGTGAGGGTGTACTTTTATGTAATAATCTACCGGATACTATAAAAGATTGTAATAATATTAAGCATTTTATGAATAAACTAAAATCATATTATGTTGTAGATAAAATTTTAAATTTTATAACTGCATATCTTCAATTTTGAACATATGAGTATTGCATTAACATAATATTCATATTTTTAAAACATTACGATTTAATACATACATATGTTTGGATTAAGTAAGAAAAAGTGTAACAAATTAATTAAGGAAATACATATAAGAATAAAGCATAATCTTTATATATAAAAATTACGTGTCACATTGTTTGTCCGCGATGATCTCCTAAACTACTGAACTGATTTCAATGAAATTTTGTACACTGGTGTGCAGTTTGGTCCAACTTGAGAGATAGGATAGTTTTTATCCCGATAAGTGACCCTCAATTTTTTTATTGCTAATCTCTGGAGTTTTTTTAGGACATCAAATGGTCGTCAAATGCCAAACAAAGTCAAAGGTATGAGATTTCTGTTACTGCATACTTCAGTCTATTGGGGAGGCGGACTTTTATAGGCCGTAATGGATTGATTGATGGATTTATTATACTCTCTCTCTTTTTCAAACATGGAATTAACAGAATTTCTCTCACCTGTGAGAGAGGCCCTCGTCACGGCCCTACATACACACACACATACACGCACGCATGCACGCATGCACGCACGCACGCACAGACACACACACACACACACACACACACAAATATATATATATATATCATATATATATATATATATATATGTCTGTCTGTATATATATATATACAGGTAGGTATTAACATCGATGGTGAGTACATCACTCACCTTCGATTTGCCGACGATATAGTCCTTATGGCAGAATCGCTGGAGGACCTAAGCACTATGCTCAAAGACCTCAATAGTGTCCCCCACCGGATAGGTCTTAAGATGAACATGGACAAAACAAAAATCATGTTTAACGTCCATGTCACACCTATGCCGGTAGTTGTTGGGAGCACTAAGCTCGAAGTTGGTGACTAGTATGTTTACCTGGGACAAATAGTCCAACTAGGTAAGTCCAACTTCGACCGAGAGGTCAATCGACGGATTCAACTCGGCTGGGCAGCGTTCGGGAAACTACGACACATCTTTTCGTTAGACATACCTCAAAACCTGAAAACGAAATTGTACAACCAGTGCGTGTTGCCAGTGATGACTTACGGATCTGAGACGTGGTCCTTCACTGCTGGCCGTATGAGGAAGCTCAAGGTCGCTCAGCGAGCTATGGGGAGGGCTATGCTCGGAGTTTCTCTGCGTGATAAACTTAGAAATTAGTATATCCGCAGTAGAACCAGAGTAACCGACGTAGCCCATGGGATTAGTAAGCTGAAGTGGCAGTGGGCCATATAGCTCGAAGAACCGACAACCGATGAGGAAGAAAGGTTCTCGAGTGGCAGCCTCGTACTGGTAGGCGAAGTGTAGGGCGACCCCCCAAGAGATGGAGTGACGACCTGGTGAGACATGCGGGAAGTCGATGGATGCAGGTGGCTCAGGACCGTGCTTTGTAGCATTCCTTGGGGGAGGTCTATATTCAGCAGTGGACTTGGGGAATATATATATATATATATATATATATATATATATATATGTGTGTATATTATGATAATCTAGAATAGATGTAGGGATGCCTATGGGATATATCTTACACCATCAGGTAGACTGTGTGCTCATTTATCACATTTACTCTATACAAAAGAGAGAAGATAAGAGGCCAGCAGCGAGTGACCTCTGGTTGTAGTGGGTAGAAGTCATACAGAATCATTCATTTATTCGCATTTCTCTAAGAATCATGCATAAGTGCTATGAATACCAAAATTGTGACATAGCAAACATAAACCTATATTATATTTGTATATATTTTAAAATGTGTACTATGTATAATGTGGCAGTACTTATTTAAATATATAAAAAAGTCCAAGATCATTCACCATTCTCTCCAATGGTTTAGTTTTCCCATCAGGATTTCACAAGGCACAAGTGTTATCCTGTTGAGGATTTCTTCCACGATAATGAAACATACTAGATTTAAATTTACTTACTTTCACTAGATATGTTGGAAGCAAAGCATTTGAACAAGGAGCCGTGTCCCTGTTACCCTTCTTAACATACACACTGTCCATGATTGGAACTTTGAAGTAAAACTAATTCTGACCTGTGTATCAAATCCAAGTTGCCAAGCGCGTTCAACCAAAAGTTGCAACCGCGGTATTGAAGGCACGCACTCACAGTCGCGGTCAACCGCGCCACCGAGCAGCCGGGCGTACTGAGGATGCTTTATTAGCGACGAAAGTAGCATTTGCATGTTTCTGGAGACAGATTAATTGTTAGAATTAATTCCAGCTGCTAAATTCCACCATCGTACACTGCGAAGTCCCGTCAAAATCGATCCAGCCATTTTGGAGATTAGCCGGAACAAACAGACAGACAGACAAACATTTATAAATTGTTATTTTGTTTTAAGTACCGTATATAGTTTCATATGCATTTAGTAAAAAGCTGTTATTTTGACATTACAAACAGACATTTCAATTTTATTTATTTCTATAGAGTATAGATGAGACATTCCATCTTAGTCATCTGACAACTCATCTGCATTTTGATTCTTAATTGAGCATAAATGTAGATGTCTATGGGCCACAGCATCCACTTACCATCAGGTGGACTGTGTGCTCGTTTGTCAACCTATTGTATAAAGAAAAACGTAATTTAATATTCACTTATGGCAGTTTGTCTTTTGTCATGCTACCAAGCTTAATACATAACAATATTGAACCTCTGTGTTTAATCTCCATTTTTCCTAGATATTCAGATTTTCATAGACGTCGGTAATCACTTACCATCAAGGGAGCCGCATGCTCTTTTGCCTACTCTTCTATAAAAAGAAGAAGTAAAGTAGCATTGACGATGGTGAGATTATTATGATGATAATGTTTTCTGACCGATATATTATGTACATATATCTTTACTTTCTACGGTCACCAAAGTCATGAGAGCAGAAACAATATGTGAAACAAACAAATGAATTCAACCGAAATTTTTCAAACAGTTGCTTCGGCCAGGATTCGAACCCAGTAGAACAAAAGGCCTTCACAATGTATAAAGTTCAGTAAGTTATTTATTATCGTCGTGTAGTTGCAGGGTATGAGAATCCACCACCTCATAAGTGGGTGTCGTAAGAGGCGACAGAGATAAACTGAAGCAGGAGATGGGCAGCTAAGTCTTGCTCATAACATCTTTATAATAATCTGCCAGGCAACTACGGCAAATATCCTCACTATGATTTATAAGAAAACTCACCTATAACCACAACCCCAACCCCTGTCTCCGTATGTGCTGGCGTAGTGATCCACTGCACTACAGAGGTACGTCTTCACTATACTTGGATTCTGAGCATTTAATTGAGCTATCCTTTCAAGAATTCCTGAAAAACAAAAACAAATTCGTAAATTTAAAAAAAATTAACTATATTTTGAGCTATTAGCTGTTAGATTAATATTTCTTCTGTATCTTCATCAGGATGTGCCAAGGTCGTGGCGTAAACCCGTATAAACTTTAATGAATACTGTTTATGTCCAAATTTGGTCATTTTTGAACGCCATCCAATTGCGTTCGAGCTGGCGCGTCACCCGATGGTATGCAGGTGAAAAAAAAAACGCCGCCAGGTGGGGCGGCCGTGTGCGGCTTGCAGTGGGTCGACGCGTGGGTGAAGAAGCAGTAGCTCGCTGGCCGCGATGCGGTGAATCCGCGTATCTCGATTATCGCGGCCGAAGTTCACGCGACCGTGTAGGGTCCAGATAGTTAGATTTAGTGCGTGTTACTTCACTACGTGGATATGTGAATTTTGCAATATTTAACTTGTTCGGGTGATGCGGAATTGTGCACGCGCGCGTCGAATAGATTCCTTGGTCGAGAGCGTCTCCCGGTTGATTGTCTGGAAATCATTATAATTGTGCCGTCGCGTTAAGTGCCCCTTTTTTGTGTGTTGGTTGGTTTGTTAGTTTACGTGTCAACAAGGCGTATTTTGAATTCTTTTCGCGACGTGGTGTTTTGGTGTCGAATGAAGGAATTTAGTTATTTTACGCTGAACCGTATGACTCATTAAGAGATCGCGTTAGTTCCCTATTTATAATTTTGTGATAAGTGAATCCGGGACATTGAATGTCGAATTTCGAACTACTGTCCTTACTGTGTCGGGTACCACGTGTTCGATTCTACGATGAATGTGGAATTAGGCGAGTTTAAGTTAGTTAAATGTACAATCAAGCTAATAGACTGAAATAGTGACAATGAAGAAAGAAATGGTCCAGCGGTGGAGCCTGCTGGAGCGATGCAGTATTGTGGAGCAGCCTGGAACTCGGCCGCTGCTGGTCACCTAAGCTGGTCCAGGTCTCAGACATTTACACATCACTAAACACTACTTGCCATGCACCTCACACCCACTTACGGCCTGACCGAGCCTTGGGGCGATCTAAGAGTCGGAAAGAGGTACGTACTATATTTCCCTAGCCTTCTCCCATATAGCTTAGTATTATAGGAAATTCTTCCATATGGTCATTGGGCCCGACCTGCGTCTGCCCGTCGAGGAAGCTGCTATGGGCCCCAGCCAAGACGACCTTTGCAGGGGCAGCTGTAGTCCGTAACAAATACTGTTTGGTGATATATATAAGATTGAGTATAAGGTAAGCAACCGCACACCCTACCATCTCAACCATGTTGTTAATGAGAGTCTTGTGAATAATAAACCGAAACCTCTTTGGGACAGATTGTCACCCTCGCGGTGATAGAACAAGTTGAGTCGATGATAGCGTGGCCTAGAACTCTCTTTGAGCTTCCAACAATCCCAGTGGAACTTATCTACTTTGTTCCAACTCCAGGATCTATTCGTCTGCCCACAGAGCGCGTGTGCTAGGTGTTGCCAGGTCATTGAAAGTAGCAACTGAACTTCCATCAGAAATTCTTAGCAACCCCCGGCCCGTTATTAATATAGTCGTCATTGCAGCCGAAATTAGTGACGCCGCCGGGGATTTTGGTTCATCTCTTTGTATCATTCTTCATGGGGGGTATATTTGTTATGCTGCTACCCATATTCCAAGCTCACGATATGGTATGAGTTAGTGCATATTCTAACGCTGCTACTACACAACTGAGTTGCCATAGTGTCCAAGGCCTAATTTTATGTTAAAAATAACCCTTGCTAAAAATAATAATGGGGCTTATTAAAATGCATTACGAAAAACATGTCATTTTAGTGATAACATTGCATAGTAGTAAGTTTCTATTTTTGTTTCACACAATCAATAAAAAAAATATCTTTAAAATATTGTTCTACTTTATAACTAAACCAGCTGTGCCCCGCGTTTTTATATCATGCAACCGCGGCATATATCATGCAACATGACAGCTCGCTTATATAGGCGTTCACTGCTGGTTATGCGTATTTCACGTCGCACTGAGCCGAGTATTGAATTATTTAAATTTTTCATTATCTCTTAAACTGTGCGTCCAAATAACATACTATAAAGAGTAAAGTTTATCTTCATAAAATCGTCTTGAGTATGAAGTAACTTTCTTCCCTAAGAAATTAATATGCCATGCCTAATAATAACGAAAATGAAATCAAATTAAAATTTTAAAATTGTATTTATTTCTCCGCCACAAAAGTATTTAGATAGGTCTACTAACAAAACTTAACAAAAATATGAAATGTAATGTTTTTGCGGTGGACTGGAGTCTTAAACTAAAGTAGGTATCCCTGTATTTCAGGACTTCCAAGTTTATCGGAATTTGCGGAATATACTGTCTATATGTGTGCATCTCTCTCGCTCTCTCTCTCTCTCTATCTCTCTCTCCGTGTGTGTGTGTGAAAGCAAGATTGTTTTCTGAAAAAGGCGGTATTGTGTTTAATAAATAATATTTAACAAGTAATTCACTAGTAATGAATAATATTAGGGTCATAGGTTAATTCTTTATGCTTGCGCAATGTTAAGTGAAATATGAATAGCTGTCTTACCGTTATAAATTTACTGTCCTCATACAGACTGAGTATTGAGTATCGGTAATGCTTTCTTAACATTACATTAAGCTTAAGCAGAGATCTCTGTGCATGTTACACATTAATAATTTTAGTTTTGTACGCTCCACCCCAAACTGATACACAATAGCTTAAGATTGATTGAGCTAGGGCGTTTTTAACATTAACATTGTTGAAGATTTTTTAGGATTACTTCTAAAAAATCTTCAACAATGTTAATTTGAGTACATTTCAAAGTTTTTTTAAAATCCATATCAGCTTACGTGTTCTCACAGATAGAAGATCCAGTTTTGTATCCACGATAGTGTTTCATTGAGTTAATAATGTTCATAAATGACTTTTTAATTTTCAATAATTTTTGTCACATAATACCTTATTGTGGCTTATGTATAAGAAATAGGCATATGGTATCCCGGACATTTATTTCAATGGAGTAAATGAAATTAAAATGAAAAGTAAAGTAAAGATCAATATTTTTTTGAACTTTGTGTTTACCTATCACTAACTATTACGCCAGCGCACGCGGATAAAGCAGTCTGGGAGAGCTTTTTTTTCCGACTTGCTTAACAAAAATGAATATTTAAGGCTAACTGAGAGGTGTAGCCTATTGCTACATAGCTTATTCCTCATGAATCTATCTTTTTTTTTTGGATATTTTTAATAATATCTATCATATACAAAAATATTTTTTTAAATCGAACTAGTAGTTGCAGAGATTACCGTTTTAAATAAAACAAGTATAGATAACATCAAATTAAAGTGTTTTTGAAGTTAGGATATTATTTTTTTTTTCAAAATATTTAACATACCATTAGTCCTAGAGGAACCAGTATCCTTGCCAGTAGCAGTGGCCCGTCGAAGACCGACGCTACGTTCGTAGTACCCGGCCACAGATAAGGCGCCGCTGTACACAGCACGCTTCAAGCTATTAGTGGCCCGGTTTGTGTAGCCCTCCTCATCCTCTTCCTCCATACCATATTGAGCCTACAAGATAAGTATTGGGGGCATAATTCTGGGAAAATTAGAGATCATTGAAAAAAAAGGTCATAAAATATGAAATTTTTTTGCATGAAAAGCAAAGTTAAAGTCATTATGTCACTTTTTTGCAAGCTAATTGTTATTTTAGTCTTACCGCCAAGTACGTGGCATAATTATTTTTTTATTTTAAAGTGATCGCCACACTATTTTGGAAGAAATCGTTACTTTTGGACAGAGTCTACATAAGATATAAAAATAGTCAATAAAAAGTTATATATACATATTTTTAATTTTTGTCTATTGTTTTGTGGATAATTTATGGTCAAATTTCACCCCCTTTCGGGGTTGCACTTCTCCGAGGGACACAGTGTATATAGATAAATACTTAAAATTCATCATCATCTTCACAATCATTACAGCCTAAAGTCCATTTCTAAACATAGACCTCCTCATGGGATAGGGGATATTTGCTATATTTGCCATTCTTGGCAAATATAGCAAATATGGTGGGTTGGCAGCAGCATTTTTTTAAATTAATTAAGATGTCATCTGGATGATGCTGCTGCCTATCTCCTGTTCCAGTTTCCCTATGTCGCCTTATATAACACCCACAAAACTACTTGGGGTAGTGGAATCTTAAAAAATAATAAAGCAAATTTATTCAACTCATTCTTACCCTCAACATCTGAAACTCATGTTCCTCTCTATTCCTCTGAGCTTCTCTTTCAGCAGCTGTTAAGGTATTTGCACCACCATCTTCCCCCTTTTCAAAATGTTCCTCAATGTGCTGAATCTGATAGACACATTAAGAATTAAATTAACAAATTAATAATTATTTGTATGAGCACAAAAATAAACAATGAAGACTTAAATATTGTAGTATTTTTGTAACATCTGTACACACAAATATTATATTAATAATATTGTTGTGTGTATGTTATTTTCAAATTTTCAGCTACATAGTTTCTTTTTGTTTGAATATTTGCATTTTTAATATTAATTGTTTTTAAAATATTAATTGATTTTTAATATTATTATGAACTTGGAATTTGTATGTATAAATAGCTTTGATACAAAAATGGTTAGACATGAAATTTGCACAGGTTGGACAATATAACTATAGGACAAGTTAGTTTTTGTTTTAGGTTAATATATCGAATAAGCTATCTAAATAAATTCGAATATTCTTGGTACTTTAATTTACAAAAAGTGATGTTACTGTAAAATTATACAATGTACACAAAGCTAGTACCAAATCACAATGACACTCTGTTTCGAAAATAATATCCTCTCTGCTACAAAAGAAGTCCCATTTCTTCCTGCGGGTGTTTTAGGGGTCTACCAAAAGTGTCACAATTAAGCAAACCTCCCTACAACAGGTAGACCCATATCCAGCAGTAGACTATTGCAGGCTGATGAAGAGGAATAAGTGGAAGAATTTGAGCATTTGCCATTATTACATAATCAGTTATGTATATAAAGACAAAAGACATTTATTACAACACTTACATCTACACACATGACAAATTACAATTAAAAATAAAACTAGTGACTTATTAACAAACAAACAAAGAAAAAAGAAGTATGTCCAGCATATGTGTATGCAAACACATATTAAAAATAAAATAAAAAAATTTGTGTGCTATGAAGTGGTGACAGGGACTGTCCCAGCATAAGCTGCGAGTTTGCAGCGTTGTTTTTTAGCCGGCCCCAACCAAGTTCGGACGGTCAACTTTATGCGAGCAAGAAATTTTTTTTTAAATTTTTATGTCATAGTCTTTTGGGACAAATTAAACATTTTGAGAAGTATACAAACCAATTCATGTTCCGACAGAGGTAATGGTTGGCAGCACACTGGACAATTACTGACAGGGCTCTCTTCCATCATAACCACATCATCACATGATGCATTGTCTAATTGATCCTGCACAAATTATACACCATACTTCAAGGTCCAATAAAATAATAAATATTAAGGTGTAACTTTTCAACAGTGGTAGAGTCACGCGGCAGCTTTTGCTGTCGTACGGATGTGCCGGCTCGAACCGGGGTGGTACCACAACCTCACAGAATACCAGCGTGAAGTAGAGGTTTACCTCTGCGTTTCGCTTGGTGAGTGCAGGTGGCCGGAGGCCCTTTTTACTGGAAATGAGGCATTCCATCTTAGTCCTCACGGGTGACAACGCATCTGCATCTTCTTTCTCAAACGAGGATAGATGTAGATGTCCATGGGCCGCAGCAACCACTTACCATCAGGTGGACTGTGTGCTCGTTTGTCACCCTTACCCTATAAAAAAAAAACTACTACCTGTCTTACAATATAACCTCTGCATTCACCAACCTGCTGACCCAGTTTAGACTTTTTTCTAATAAAATAAGGCTGACAAATGAGCAAATGAGCAAATACTTTACCTGATAGTAAGTGGATACTATGGCCCATAGACATCTACATCTATCCTCAATTAAGAATAAAATTGTAGATGAGTTGACACTGCTTAGGACTTAAAAAGGATTATCAGGTCAATACACTTAACATACAATACATAACAGCATTAAGCTCTTATTTTAAGCTGATATTCTGTGAGAGCATAGTCCTTCCCCAGTCAAGCCGACCCACGGCTTGCTCCAAGCATAATTTAGCTAGAGCATGGCTGTACCATGTAAAGACATATTTATATATTTAAGATATTCTTAATAACACAAAAAAAAATATTTAAGATATATTTGAAGTTGTGCATACTATATATCAGAATGTTAAAAGGCTTATATACAAAAGTAGATTATTAAAAATTGTTCAAGAAACTAAAGGAGAAAGTTGCCACCAAGTGACAGCATGAAATAATCCATCAGCTCATTTTATCTCCTGGGTATAGTATAGTGGTAGAGCCACGCGGCAGCTTTTGCTGTCGCACGGATGGGCCGGCTCGAACCGGGGTGGTACCACGACCTCACAGAAAACCAGCGTGAAGTAGAGGTTTACCTCTGCGTTTCGCTTGGTGAGTGCAGGTGGCCGGAGGCCCTCTTTACTGGAAATGAGGCATTCCATCTTAGTCCTCACGGGTGACAACGCATCTACATATTGGTTTGTAATAGAGGATAGATGTAGATGTCTATGGGCCACAGCAACCACTTACCATCAGGTGGACTGTGTGTTCGATTGTCACCCTTATCATATAAAAAAAAAAAAAAAAAATAGTGGAGATTAAGCTAAATACCAGAAAAATCATATGCTTTCCAACTGATCTCGTTAACATCAAACAGAAAATACTAATACAGGCGATGGACAGCAGATTCAAGTGTGCAATATGTTGGACACTGCATTTGTCAATTCTTCTGCCAAGCTAAGCCCTAGGTAAATCCTGCCTACAACGGGAGAGACCCAAATCCATATCAGTTTTTAAAAATATGAATCTTTGATAGGAAATATGAAAATGAAACAAACTGTAATTTATAAATGGTTAATAAATGTTTTACTTACTGATTTCTGCGGGCTTAATATGTCCCTGTGCTCAACATTGACATGCACTTCCACTTCTGGACCGCTGGTAAACTCTCTTTCACATATCGGACATTGAAATGAGGAGGAATGAGGCCCCGGAGACATGGCCATAGCACTTAAAGCTAAAGTTGGATTGTCTAAGGTCAGTGTAGCGTTGCTTAGCCCCAGGGTTATGTTTTCAGTAATATTAGCATTAGCGTTTGCATTTGAAAGAACAGAGGGAGACGTGAGGTCAAAATGAGCCCTATTAATGTGTTCTTCTAATTTTCTGGGACATGTTGATGTGAAATCACATAACAAGCACTGCAATAATACAAAAAAAATTGGTTATATTAGTTGCATTTCTTTGTTTCATTTACTCTATTGATTACGCGTTGAAAAAAATTAAAAATACATATTAGATAGTCTCTAGTTGAATTTGAATTTGAACTTTGAAAATTTGAAGTTTTCAAAGTTTCAAACATTTTTGTTTTACTTTTTTAATTATTTAAAAGCAAAGGAACCAACGCCCATAAAGCCTTATCTGATTGATATTATTCACAAAATGCTAATGAAACAAATTGAGAAGGTTTTGGAGGATTTGGCGACAGTTTAACCCAGAAATTTTGTACGTATCTCATGGCACTAAAAATACCATGATGTAAATGATTTCATAGATAAATGATATTCATAAGCAATCTGTTTCGGTCAAGTACTCGCTAAAATTCTTTGAGTATTTTTTTATAATTTTATACTTTCAGAGAAAGATACCGATCATGTAAATAAATAAATGTTAAAATTGTAATAAATAGAATCAGGCGTTACTTTGCATATATCCAACTATCGGAAAACCACTTAGCGGTCACCAACTTTAGTCTACTTTACCTGAAGACTGAAGATGCCTCGTGTAGAGGCGAAACACGTGTCGTATTATCAACGGTCGTGTTTCTTTTCAGGTGTAGTGGTGTTGGGAATGGTGGTGCTGGGATTGATGGTGACAGAGGTAATGCACGCAATTAAGGGAGGGCGGTACCGGGAGGTGCTCTTCAGACTAGGTAAGATACATTATTTTTATTTTATTACGCGGATATAAGCAAATTAATTTTTAAGATCTTTTTTAAAATTGTATTGAAATGAGATTGGTTTAATAATATTTTTAGATAATACATTCATTTATCGGCAAACAACAATATATCAACAGTTACCAACGATCGGATTCAGGTTGCCTGCGTATACGGGTATAAATAGAATAGAAACGAATGATTTTTTATTCAATATTGATTATTACATAATACTTATTGAAAGTAATTTTTATATTTACCACTTGTTGGAAGTAAAGACTTCAGAAATGAGTTGGGGGTGACTCGAACTTTAGGCATAGTCAGTTTGAATAACCTATCATGTAGAGGATGTAATGGGGGTCTTGGTTGAATAGGGGCAAAAAGTTCTCATTACACTCCTAGAGGGTCAAAATGGCCAAAAACAAAATAATTAGAAGTTCTTATTTCGGCTTTTACTCCACCTCCTTCGGAGGTCTTACACAGTCTTTACTTCTCGCATCCCACTTGTTCGGATAATAAAACTGTCCTGGGAAGAACCAGCAAGATACTTAGCGGGCTTTTTTTTTAAACATATTCCACTTTATAATAATTTTGTTGCTACAACTTTTGCGGTTGCATTGTGGCGATGACCTCATTCCCAGGGGTTATTTACATTCATGTTTTCCTTGATATTATAATAACCCTTTTTGTACAACTTTTCTTTAATAACACTTTTAAACTTGTTTATTGACAATCTTTGAACATGTTCTGGGATTTTGTTGTAAAAGCCTTGAAAAAAGTTTGTTGTGGGAGTTTGTTGCCCCATAAATGAGTTACTAATTCTGTGGAGTCTAGCATAACTAGCATTACAATATTATGTTTATTCTTAGTGTTCAAAGTATGAACATCCTTATTCTTATCAAAGCTATTTATTTTTTATGTACATACATTATTTTATTTTTTAAAATTTTCTTTGAAGGAGAGCATATTATCCGCTACTGAACTTTTACGTCTTTAATAAAAACATTTTTACAAAAAACATAATATATCACTTTTTTATAATATAATACATAATATATACGTTGCGTGACCTAGAGGTAGGTACAACATTACGTGGCTCGAATTCCAGCACGATAAGATCGTACGATAGTTGAATATTAGAGCAAAAGCACAAAACGTTGGTTTTCAGATAGATGCATTATTGCCTCTTTGACTCTCACATTTCATCCTAACCTTACTCCGATCTCATCACATCGGGCACGGGTAGATTAAGGCGAATAGAGACATTTCCTCGTCTTAACCCAATTATATCTGATGTGAGCGCCAATGCTTGTAGAACTTTACATTTTGACGCAGTTGCTTGCTTAAGTTTATTAGGAAGTTGTCGTTACTGTCAGTAACCAGCTAAGGCAGATACACTGTATTTTTAAGAATTTTTTATACCCTAAGTATAACGTTATAAACAAATGTAGAATACCTGAACTGTTGGACTAGGTGTCGGTGGAGATTTTTTAGGAGTATTGGTTTTAAGTTTTAGCGCAAGTTGAGATCTGAGCGGTGAACCTTGACCCGCGCTTGCCATAGATAACTGGAAAAAGCAATTTATGATGTTGATGAAAGACAAGACAATTTTAAAATTATGGCACACTAAAAGATGTGATAGGTACCTTATTTTTATTTGGGGACCCTTCGTAATTATCAGTATTATGACTAGGGCTGCAATGACTACCTGTAAACATAATAAATAAAACATAATTTTTACATGACATAAGAAATGTAACACACAAATAAATGTGTTTAAATATAATAAAACTCAGTAATATTAAAACAGTATAAAATTAACAACTGACCCTTTCTTTCATGGCCACTAATAATTTCACCGTCGCTAGAATTCTCCCTACTGTGATTTTTTTTCGGTATTACCCCATTACTTATATTAATGTTCTTCAGTCCATTACATAGATTAATATTTTTAGGTGAACGCGAGCACCTGTTGTCGTCCCTTTCACTTTTATGGTAGTTATCTTTGTCCTGGTAACCGTTATGATAGTTTATGTTTTTCGATATGGCGCCATTATGAAATGATGTTGATGACATATCAGGACTATGCCAGCCGTTAATAGACCCTGGCGTGTTGTAACTACAACTATCTGTCGTAGTCATTTTTGAATCTTCGTCGTAACTGAAATTATGAAATAAAAGAAGTATCAGAATTGAAAGACACTATATTATCATCGCTATTTACCAGGTGCTCGGCGATGAAGGAAAACATCGTGAGAGTACTTGCATGACTGAGGAATAAAAATATTTCAAAGACATAATATGAAGTTCGTCAACACGTACTGAAGCAGCACTGTGGACTTATTGCTCCTTAACCCTCTCAGAAATGAGAGGAGGCATGAGCCTAGCAGTGGGAATATATGCTGCAGCTATATTTTAAAAATTTTACTTATTACCGCTTAAAGTTTGAAACGTAAATCAATTCCACATTTGTGAAAAATATGTGGTATTATATGTGTTTGAATGTATGTACCTATCGAATAGTGGCGGTGTAAGAATATCCACTACTCCTTATCGCTGCATGGGTGTCGTAAAAGACGACAGAGAGAAACGACCCAGAAATGGGCAGTAGCTTCTTCCTAATAAAAACTATAACATAAAAAACTGCGCTTGCCAATCCGCCTGCCAAGTATGGCAACTATGGCAATATCCTGCCTGCTGAGGCCTATGTTCAGTAGTGGACTTTTAACAGATTGTAACGGTAACGGTGTTTAAATGTGCGTGACATAGGTATTCACACGCCACTATTATGTCGCGACTGATTGGCTGTATGTCGGTGACCTGACCCATGTATGTGCATGAACATTTAAAATTTTATTTTTGGGCTTATTGATTTGATCCTAAATTCTCAAGTGCCTTAGGAATATACTACTCTCTGATGTGAGCTTATGTCTCTAACACAATTTTTGACACTAATGTTTTCGTATCGTCAATAAATAAAATTTTATTGCATACTGGCGAGTCTGCTTGGAAAATAAGTCTTTCAGTTACCATCGTCCTATTTTTAGTCGTTATAGCGGTCAAAACACGAACTCACTTTATCATCATCGTCATCATTACAGTCCTTCCATCCAGTCCACTGCTGAACATAGGGCTCCCTAAGAAACACAAAAGGACGGTCCTGAGTCACGTGCATCCATCAACTTCCTATATGTCTATCCAGGTCGTCACTCCATCTATCTTTCTAGTGAGGGGATGCCCTACACTTCGTGTACCGGCAGGAGGCTGCCACTTTAGAACCTTTTTTCCCCATCAGTTGTCGGATCTTCGAGCTATATGGTCGGCCCATTGCCACTTCAACTTAATAATTCGTTGGGCTATGTCGGTTAGTTTAGTCCTACAGCAGATATCCTCAGTTTAAGTCTACCACCCAGAGAAACCCCCAGCAAAACCCTCTCCATTGCTCGCTGAGCGACCTTGAGCTTCGTCATACGGCCAGCAGTGAAGGACCACGTCTCAGATCCATAGTCATCACTGGCAATACCTTGCTACAAATTGGATTTATGTTACTGCTACATATTGAATAAAATTTTTTATAACCAATCCATTCATAACAATCTACGATTTTATATCTTCGGACCATCTAGCGTCTATTTTACGTAACATCTTGAGACAATCAATTTTTGTTCGATAAAATGACTTTACCTATAGTATAAATAGATGACGCTATTACAAAGCAATTTTAATCGAAAGAAAATATTATTTTCATTTAATACACAAAACTCTTGGTTTTATACCTATGTCTAAAAGTAAGGATTTACCTAATATATAAAAATTAATTTTTGTTTGTTCGTATTTTATGCGCCGCCATACCATTCATCAGATTGCGGTAAAGTTTTGTCAACTTATTGCTTACACTTAGGTTATAGATATAGTACGATTAACTTAAAAATGCGCGTATCGTAACGACAATTTATTATTTGAAAGTTATAGATCATTCAATTTCAGTAAATGTATTTTCATTCCTAATTAAACAATATAAATCTTCCAAATTTAATACAATATTTACACAATTACGTCTCCTGGTCCTGCGGCAACAACCCGCCTGGTACCAGCTAGTTTGTTATTATATAAAATTATTAAATTAAACTTTCATCTTAAATTTTATGCCGCACTTGTCGTTAAAAATTAATCAATATTAAAATAATATTCACCTAGGTAGGTACTGTATTGACCATATCCATATGGCTTAAAGGCAGTCGTGTCATTTGTATGGAATTGAAAGCTTGGAGTCTGTTTACTAGGTAATGTAATAGGTATATGTATTTACTCACCCAGGACTTTGATCATCAATAAACGCCATCAGTTCCCTTTCCGGTGTCAAGTAATGAAGATGAGCTCTCTGCACATGGCCAACAAGCTGAGTTTGCGGAACATTGCAGTCACAGAAAGGGCAATCTGGGCGACCAGCCACGTGGGCTTCGAGGGTATGAGTACGCATACCATCGTCCGTTAAACCTTCCGCTCCACATAGCTCGCATGTATACGGAAATGGGCTACTCGACATGGTGATATATGAAACTAGAACAAAAATGATAATTTTAATTGTGTTTTAATAAGCTTTGTGATACTGAAGGCTTAAAACAAATCGGTAATAAGATTTAACATAATTTACTGAATTAAACAGTTAATGTTACACAGATTATTAAATAAAATAAAAAAGAAACAATTCTGGTTAATTGATTTATGTAACCTTGTTTATTATATTTCTTTGTAATTTTACCCCATACACGTTTATTACCAGGTAAAAATTAATTACCACGTAATGAATGAGCATAGAAACCATTCACAACAAATTGGTGTAAAGTGTCAAATCGATAAATTTACCGCAGTTCTGTTTTCAAGGAAAACGCGACATATTCCGCTAATTAATAGAAAAAGAAAAGACAAATTCTAAAATTCCATCGTCTGAGTTCGTAAAATACTTCCTAATTAATTTAATTGTAATATGCCATGTTTTAAATAAAATTGGACTTAGGTAATAACCAAAAAACATATTATTAACATTATGTACTCACATTCCTGTTTTTTATTGTCAAAATTCACGGGAATCCCTAAGAAATTTGGTAATAACACTATCTATAAGGCTTATTACTTGTATTATATGTGACCAATAATAACATTTTCTAATGTTAAATTGTACATTAAACAGTTAAAGATCACAAATTGTGAACGAATCGCCATTCATTAAGTTTAGAGACATCGAAAAAGAAAAAAAAAACTGCTACGCATGCGGAAAATCCACTTCGGGGTCATGCCCCCTATCGGGAAATATAGGACACACGGAAGCTCAAAACTTGTGTAACAAAAATAACTATAAAGCCTGTTACCAAAGGTTAAAAATCCTGTAACCTACATATTTATGATTTGTTACTTAGAAAAGCTAAGAGAATGACCATTATAGATTAAAGCGAATAACTGCACTATTAGGTATTTAAACAAAATAGTTAAAATTATATCATGTAGAGTAATAAATGCTATGGATGAAAAGAAAAATTATTTTCTTTTAATAGAATTTGTATAATACAGTTATTGCGCCATCTAGTTAGTGGTGTAAACATTCGTGGTTACATAACAAAGCGAATGTATTGCGTTCTTCTGAACAGATAGAGGAAAATTGGGTAGATGGTGTAGTTAGTTTATTAGTTTTATTGTTTCATGCTTTTTATTTAGAAATAAATAAATTACACAAAACTACAGTTAGATCAGTCACAGTGTATCCTTTTGTAGTCTGTGGTCACAGTTCATTTTGGAACTAGCGACCTGCCCCGGCTTCGCCTGGATGGGATCTCTTAATGTGGCGTTATTTAAATTTAAGATAATGAAAGGCCATTTATTTTATCAAGTTTTAATTTTTTTTAAATATATCTTCAAGTTTTTTAGACGGAATATAGCCTAGATCCCTCCTGGCATTGCTATCTGTTCGTAAAATTTCATCACAATCGATTCAGCTATTCCGAAGATTATTCTGGACAGACAGACGGATCGACAGGCAGAAAAAAATGGTTATTTATATCTTATTATCATTCATCATCATCATTACAGCCTTTCATAAGTCCACTGCTGAACATAGGCCTCCCCCAAGGAATGCTACAAAGCACGGTCCTGAGCCACCTGCATCCATCGACTTCCTGCATGTCTTACCAGGTCGTCACTCCATCTCGTGGGGGGTCGCCCTACACTTCGCCTACGGATACAAGGCTGCCACTCAAGAACCTTTCTTCCCCATCAGTTGTCGGTTCTTCGAGCTATATGGCCGGCCCACTGCCACTTCAGCTTACTAATCCGTTGGGCTATGTCGGTTACTCTGGTTCTACTGCGGATATACTCATTTCTAAGTTTATCACGCAGAGAAACCCCGAGCACAGCTCTCTCCTGTCATACGGCCAGCAGTGAAGGACCGCGTCTCAGATCCGTAAGTCATCACTGGCAACACGCAATGGTTGTACAATTTCGTTTTAAGGTTTTGAGGTATGTCTGACGAGAAGATGTGTCGTAGTTTCCCGAACGCTGCCCAGCCGAGTTAAATCCGTCTATTGACGTCTCGGTCGAAATTGGACTTACCTAGTCGGACTATTTGTCCCAGGTAAACATACTCGTCAACAACTTCGAGCTTAGTGCTCCCAACAACTACCGGCATAGGTGTGACCTGGACATTAAACATGATCTTTGTTTTGTCCATGTTCACCCTAAGACCTATTCGTTGGGAGACACTATTGAGGTCATTGAGCATGGTGCTTAAGTCCTCCAGCGATTCTGCCATAAGGACTATATCGTCGGCAAATCGAAGGTGAGACATGTACTCGCCATTGATGTTAATACCGTATCCTTTCCAGTCCATAAGCTTGAAAACGTCTTCCAATGCAGCGGTGAAGAGTTTCGGGGATATAACATCACCCTGTCTTACATCTCTCTGCAATTGGATAGGTTTCGTACTCTGGTTCTGTACTCGGATAGCCATCGTAGCTCTACTGTACAAACACTTCAGCACTTCGATATACGGACAGTCAACTTGGCACCGCTGAAGGGACTGCAGCACCGCCCAAATTTCAACGGAATCAAAGGCTTTCTCATTGTCCACATACGCCAGACATAGTGGCAAATTGTACTTCTCGGACTTCTGTACAATTTGCCGAAGGGTATGTATGTGCTAATGTAGGTCTATGGTGCTAAAGCCTTTTCGGAAACCGGCTTTTTCGGGAGGCTGGAAGATTCGTAATGACTCTCGAAAACAGCACGTAGACGCGGCTCAGAAGGGAAATCGGTCTGTAGTTCTCCAAGAGAGCGTTGTCACCTTTCTTGAAGAATAAGTCCACCGCACTTCTGCTCCACGCCTCCGGTGTAGTGCCACCATGGAGGACGGAATTAAAGAGCTTCTGATGGACTTCAAGTACCGGTTTTCCACTCGCTTTCAGAAGCTCCGCTGTAATTCCATCCTCGCCTGGGGCCTTGCCGTTTTTAAGGTGCTGGAGAGGCATTCTAATCTCGCTCAGACTGACGTCCAGGATATCATCGGAATAGTGTCGGATAAGACTCGCTCTTGGATCATTACTCACACTTACGTGTGGCTCCAACGATGATTTGTACAGCTGCCCATAGAACCTCTCAATCTCACTCAAAATCTCAGTTGCCCCGGAAACGATGCTGCCACATTCAGTCTTCAGCTTTGACAGTTGGCTCTTTCTGGCAGACAGATCTCTGGCAAAGACTTTGGAGCCTTGGTTCCGCTGGATCGCTTCTTCAATACAAGCTGTATTGAAGTTGCGTAAGTCCCGCCGCATGCATTTGGAGATCTGTCTGTTCAGTTGCCTGTATGCTGTCAAATCTGTTGAAGAATGTAGCTTCATCTCCCATCTAACAGCCATGAGATTGAGAGTTTTTGTGTTCGTCTGCGGCGAGTCTTGCAGAACTTAGCTCCGACCGCATGGACAGTTTCCACGAGCTTGTCATTCATATCGTCCACTTCATTGCAGTCTTCTAGGCACTGAAAATGGTTTTGTAACTCGAGCTGAAAGGTTTCGGGACTTTGGAACAGAGCACGAGGGGAACGGAGCGTTGACTTCATTAGACGCGACCTCTCCAACTTAACGTTTAGGTTCAGTGTGCCTCTAACCATTCGGTGATCGTTACCAGTTTTCACTCTCGCGATCACGGAGACATCACTGAACAGTTGTCGTCTGGTCGTCATAATGAAGTCAAACTCATTTTTTGTGGAACCGTCCGGGCTCGACCAGGTCCACTTCCTGTGGGGCCGCTTCTGGAAGAAAGAGTTCATCATAAAGAGTCCCTCTTTCTCCATGAAGTCGGCCAGCTGCTGGCCCCTTGGGTTCCGTTGCCCTATTCCGAATTTCCCTACTTTCAGCTCACCGTTCTTTCTTGAGCCTAGTTTTGCGTTGAAGTCTCCCATTAACACCGTATAGTGGGTTTTGGAGGAATGCATGGCTCTAGAGATATCCTCATACATTTCCTCCACCTCCTCATCGGGGTGTGCCGAGGTTGGTGCGTAAACCTGTGTGACCTTCAGCGAATACCGTTTGGTGATTCTGAGTATAAGGTACGCAACCCTCGTCGACATACTCTCAATCTTTACAAAGTTGTTAACGAGAGACTTGTGGACGATCAATCCGACACCTCCTTGGGACAGATGGTCCCTCCCGGTGATAGAGCAAGTTGCCGTATTCGAGGATTACTGTGTCCTCCCCCTCTCTTCGGACTTCGGATAATCCTATAATATGCCAGCGTAACTTGTCTATCTCTTCTTCCAGCTCCACGATCTTCTCTTCAGTCCTCAGGGTGCGTGCGTTGTATGTTGCCAGGTCGAGTCGTCTTAGGTGGCAACCGAACCTCCACCGGAGATTCTTAGCACCCCCTGCCCCGCCGTTACCATGGTCGCCACCGTAGCCAGGAATAGCGGGGCCGCCGGGGACTGGGGGCCGTCTGTTTGTTGCTTTAATCATTGGGGGGTATTTGCCATAGTTGCCACGCTTGGCGAGCGGGTTGGCAACCGCAGTTTTTTTTTAAAAACGTTACCCCCACACTAGGATTTTCTCCTGTGTCGTGGAGGCAGTTTACAAACATAAATTGCACAAGGACAAACATCCAGACCCGGAACAATTATTTGTAGGCCATACAAATACTTGTTCCGTGCGGGATTCGAACCCGCGGCACCCAGCGCAACAACTGATTGCTAAGCCACTGCGCCACGGAGCCGTCGTTTTTATTCTAAATTTTGCTGTTATCGGGAACATGCTGCTGCCCATCTCCTGCCTGTTTTCCTTTGTCGCCTTTTACGACACCCACGGAAAGATATGGGGTAGTGGATATTCTTAACCGCCACTACACGGCGAGTTATGTGCACGCTAATATATCTTATTAGCGTGCACATAACTCTCTGAGCTTAATAAAGGCCACATATTTTTATATTAAAGACATTTTTATCTCGTCAATTAGCAGCTTATTACTGCTGTGTTTCGTATGGCGAGTGTAGAGAACCGGAGAGCCTTTTTA